ATATGAATATGAGACAAACAAAGCTGGGCCTGGTGTTCTGTTTCACCGAGATTGATTGATTGATCAAGCGAGAAAGAGAGAGAGAGACTGTGAGAGAAAAGAGGCAAGTGTTACGTCGGCGAGGGTTGAACATTGGAGTTTTAGAGAGAGAGAGAGGAAAAGGATGCAAGTGCTACGTCGGGTGATGGTTGAGCAGTGAAGTTTTTAAGTGTGAGAGTGAGAGTGAGAATGAGACAGAGAGGAAGCAAGTTTTACGTTAGGTGAAGGTTGAACAGTGGAGTTTTTGGGGCCTCTCGTTATTTTTTTGGAGTTTTTCTTTTGGGGTGAGGCATAAGGTGTCCACATTAAACGATTAAAGTAAAGTGCATTTCTAAATGTAAAAGTTGTAGTCGGACGTTGAAAATCTTATCTGATTATATAATGAGTTTATTTACTTTTTGATACAAAGATATCACAATTACTTATATTAAAAATTTTAAGAGATTGTATATAATGAGATCATTTACTTTTAATACAAAATCACAGTTACTTACAATCATCTAATGTGAAATTTAATAGCTTGGGTGTGTTAAAAAGGCGGAGAAATTTTTTTTTGAAGTTTAACCTTGGTCAAGGAAATAAATGCAGCCTTCTAATTTCACATCTAATAGTCAAGATTAATTGTAACCACCTTCTATCAAAGATAAATGATCTCATTGTATATTTTTCCAAATAACTATAAAATTTAAAGCTCCTAAAATGGTGTAAATTGACTAGATTTTGAAATACTAAAAGGTTTTAAAATGGATGGTCTAGATAATGTATTGTAAGATGCATTTTTTTAAGACCTGAAATTCTTTTTCTCTGTATCTATGCATCTTGAGATCGAGATGATTGTCTAGGGATTTTTGCAGTTAGAATAACTTTTTTGAGTCAATTTATGAAGTGCACCATATTTTTACATTTTAAGGTTGAGACTAGTGTTCACAAACTCGGCCGGTCAAACTCGTAACCGGCCAGTCAAATCAGAACCAGACATTAGCCGATTTGGTTTTAGTGGCTCGGTTGGGCATTTTAAAAATATTAAAAAATATATATAAAATCTCAAAAAATAAGGGATTTGTTTGTAACATGCTTTTAACTTCTTCTTTTTTATCATTTTGGTAAAGATTGGAAAGTGTTTGTGCCATCAATACGTATTATTATATTTTTCCATGATTTTTAGAAACTTTTGAAAATACCTCTAGGCATATATCGATTTTTTAAAATTCATTTTCACTATTTTTTAAATTTTATGTGGATGTATTTCGTTTGATCATACTTTAAATATATTTTCCATACTTTTTTTTACTTTTGTAATACATTTTGGACTCACCAGGACCTGCCCAATTAAGCCGGTTGAACCGGCCAGTTTAACAGTTATTCGGACCCATCCCTTGACCGATTTTCTGGGCCACTTAAATTTTTCAAGCAACAGTTGAGGCTTTATGTAAAATTTTTCCTTTATGTAAAAATTTTTCCTTTCTTTATTGGCATTTTGGATCTCTGTTTTTTTTTTTTGAAGTTTTTGGTTCTGTTACATTTTGACTCGTGTAAATTTTAAATAAAAAGAGCGGGATGGGGTCAAACTGAAAAGTAATTGACTCGAGGTTGACGGCGTAATGCTTGCCCTTTTTTTCTCCTTTCTTTTTTGATCCTTTTTTTTATTTTTATTTTTTGGTTCTCGGCTTTTTACACCACAAAAGCAATTAGACGAAATTTCGGCCGTAACGAAAATCTTTTCAGTGAACACCGCCACGCTTTAAGACAGTAATCGTGGTTTAAAACTTTGAAATTAAAATAATAATTAGTCAATCCGTTGATTTATGGAATAGAAGCAGTTGCTTTCTCTTGTTCCAATCTTTAAAGCAACGGGTTTTGTCCACGTGGAAGCATGAGAACGCCCGACAGTAGCCATCACAACTTGTCCGTTTTCTCTCTCTTACCTTTGTTTTGCTGGACAATCGAACTCTAAAACGCCTCCGCATTTGGGGACAAACAAGTTAATGAGAGAGAAAGAGAGAGAGTTGTACAAGTAATAACCCTACACATACAGACAGATGGCTAAGATTCACCTAGAGAGAGAGAGAGATTGGAATGCTAATCTACTTAGAGAGAGAACGGGTTAAGAGAGAGAAGAATTATTGATCACCTTAGACATAAAGAAAAGGGTTTCTAAGAGAGAGAGTAGAATGACTAATGACCTTGGAGGTAGAGAGAAGGGAAAATTAAAAAGAAAAAAAAAATAGATTGAGAGATGGGGTTATAAATTTTTAACCTTTTAATTAGGGAAAAAGTTTATATACCGTTTTCAAGTGAGTCGGTGGTGAGAGGGCCCTTACTCTTGATAGGAATTGAGCCAAAGACGTAGCACTATGAATTGTCAAGTACAAACCAATTAAGCTCCGGCTCTTTTTTTAATTCCTACCAATTAAGATGCAATTCTGATATTAGAAAAACATCTAATTGATCATCCCAAAATCAAGATGTAAAAATGAGATTTCAAATCATGAGAATACTGCATCTTGCAACACATTATCTGGACTTTTTTTTTTTTCAAGTTTTCTTGTACGACGCAATTTCAACTAATTTAGAGTTTAAAATTTTATAATTAAAGATAAAAATAAATTCTCTCACAATCTTAAAAATTTTAAACACTAAAATTACATCATATAACAAAATTTGGAAGAAGCTGTATTTTGATCATTTAAAGTTGCAACCTGATGCAAACAGAACCCCTTGACTAATGGCACAAGAGGTGGAGATAGGGGGAGCAGGCTAATGGCACTAGAGATAGAGAGAGAAAGGAAGTAAGGGGAAAATGAGAGGCAGAAAAAGAGTGACCTACTAATAACAGTAAAGATGGGGAGAGAAAGAGGAAGTAAGAGATAGAGAGAGAAAGGGGCAAATGACAGGGAGGAGTGGTATTATGGGGACGGACCATATAGCATGGAATACGAACAAATATATAGCACCAAAGGAGACAACAAGAGCAGATGGCAGAGATGAAGGCGGGACCTCAATTCCATTACCTCCCCCAACCATCCATCAATTATTGACTACATAAACGTAAAAGCCAAAAACACCTCTCTCTCTCTCATATAAACACACACACCTGAACGTCCACATTATCAAACCTCTCTCTCTCTACTAAATAACATCTCTCTTTCTCTTAAAAGACGGAAGGACAATCGTCAATAAAAGTATAAAACCAGAGCAAATGATCCCTACAATTAATTGGGATTTTTTCTTTTGGGAATACGTACAAATTTAAAAACCCAAGAGATACACCAGGGATACAAAGATACAAAATTCAAGAAATGCTATAAAAAGAACCAAAATCATAAGTGAGACTTATAATTACATTTTGAATCTCTAAAAACAAAAGCAGTGTACACTAGCATTTTAGTAGGGTGAGGTTTATATAAGGTTGCCTCTTTATACTATACAAGTAAGGTACATCTATAAAATTTACATAGAGAGGCTGTTTCAGTTTCAAAATACTTATAATTTACATAGAGAGGCCGTTTCAGTTTCAAAAAACTTATAATGGCTTCAAAATCCCTTTTTATTCAAATTTATAAAATTTAAAATTTAAAAAATGATGCAAATCAAAAAATATTTGAAAATATTGAATATAGACAGATAACTTGTTACACGATGTAATACTTTTTAGACTTGAAACTTTTTTCTTTCTTCACATCCATTCATTTCAAGGTTGAGATGATCGGTTTGAGGATTGTACTTTACCGAAACACTTTCCACTGTAAGATTTTTTAGGTACACGTTATGTCAACAGTATAAGGTTGTCACCTTATATAAACTTTTTCCTAAGAGGGTATACACACAAAGTAAATGAGTGAGAGAGAAAGATAGAGAGAGAGTAAAAAGCAATGTCTGGCCATGTTAAACAAGTGAATGCTTTAGAGAGAGAGAGTAAAAGCAATGTTTGGCCATGTTAAACAAGTGGATTCTAGAGAGAGAGAATAAAAGCAATGTTTGGGGATGTTAAAGAAGTGAATATTAAATGGAGAGGATGATGAGATTCGGGATCGAGAACAGTTTGGTAAGATGATTACTAGTGGTTGGGTTGGGTTGGGTTGGGTTGGGTTGGGTCTTGAGAAACCGTGTGCACCCAACCCTCAGCTTTCCAACAAAACATTCATGTGTTGAGTATCTGACTTCCATCATCTCCCCCAAATCCCACAAATCAAATCAATTAAACAAAACCCCTGCAAACCCGCTTTCCAGATAAAAACCACACCCCTTTTCTCTTTCTACTTTTCAATGGGGGGACGAGCATGTGGGTAGAGAGAGAAAGCAAGTTTTAGAGAGAGAAGGTGAGTTTTAGGGAGAGAAAGTGAAGAAATGGGTGTCTGGGGTCCACAACTTTAGAAAGGGGCAGCGAGAAGAAGGCCCCCATGTCTTTGGCTTCTGTTATCGGCATATAGAGACAACCCACACTCAACCCACATACTCCTGTAGATCATAAATTTGTCTCGGTTGCTTGTTTTTGGGTGGGCAATGCCATACGGCTTTATAATCCCCATTCCCCAATACGGCTCCTGTACGAGGGCGTAGATCCTAGAGAGGGAAAGTCTATGAGTTTTTTTACATAGAGAGAGGAGAGAGAAAGAGAGAGACGTGGGCAGAGAAAGTTATCAGGGCAAGTAGAGAGAGAGAGAAAGATATAGGCCTGGTCCGAGAAAGATTTAAGTGCAAGTAGAGAGAGCGAGAGACGTTTGGAAAGAGGGATGGGGATTTAGAGAGAGAGGGCTCACGTGTATTGGGATCGATCTCTATACATTTATGCATGCAAAATTACTGTGAGAATCAATTATGAGGGTTTGTTTCTTTGCGGGGATGTTTTTTTCTGTCTAAAGTGGGGCTCAAGTTTCAAGTAATCTGATTGGGTCTGAGAGGGAGCTCAAGCACGGAGGGGTGTTTTTGTTTAAGTGGGAGGGGATGGGGGGGGGGGGTTCTCTTTCTTTCTCTAAAAATTGCCTTTTGTTGCCTTTGGGTGAAAGCTGAGAAAGCCGGGTGCCGAAAGCCGAGTGCCGGAAGCTTTAATCTCAGCACTGCCAGACAAATTTTTTTTTGAGAATTATTAAAAGGGGGTCGAGGTTAGGCTTTGAGAGAGAGAGAGAAAGAGAGAGAGAGAGAGGGGATAAGAGTTCAGTGATTCCAGATGCTTTGTGGGTGCGCTCTCTTTCAGGAGTGGAGCTTCAGGAGGTCAGGGGCTTGGTCTTTCTGAGATATTCTTTAGAGAGATAGAGAGAAAGGGTTTGGCTTTTTCTATTTTTGCAGAGAAAAAGGTCCTTGGTGTTGGATTTTGTAGTGATAATTTGGAAAGAGAGGGGCTTTGTCTTTGCCCTTTTGTTGCAGGTGAGAAGGTACATGAATATGGTTTTGCTGTCAAGAATTTGAGATTGAAAGAAAAAGAATTAGACAGAGGGAGAGAGAGAGATAGAAAGATAGAGAGAGAAAGGGAGGATCTCAACACTTTCTCATCCATGTTTGGCCCTCCATCTCCTGGTTCGACGCCATCGTTGGGCAACTGTTCGACGAGCATAGAGCATGGAATTATTGCCTCTCCCTTTCCTCCCATTTCTTCATCCTTCCCATCATGCTTAGACAATGGGGGTAGCAAGAGAAAGAGAAGGCCAGCTGGAACCCCAGGTCCAATTCTCCTCCTCAATAACAATACTCAGATTTAAAACATCACTAACCACACACACACAATATCGGTTTGCTTTTGTTTAGAGAGAGAGATTGGGGGGTGTTTCCTCTGGAGATTGCAATGTATTGTTTATATGTGTTCGTGTGTGAGAGACAGAGAAAGAGAGAGAGAGAAGAGAGAGAGAGAGAGAGAGATTTTGGCAGAGAGAGTGAACTTGGTAAGGTGGACTATTGAGAGAGATTGTGTGTGTATGAGAGAGAGAGAGAGAGAGAGAGGTAGTTAGTAGAGTGTAGTGAGAGGAGGGTGTGTGTGTGTGTAGAGAGAGAGAGAGAGAGAGAGTAGTTGTACGGTGGACTAGTGAGAGGGGTGTGTGTGTGTATGTGAGAAAGGGAGAGAATTTGGTAAGGTGGACAACTGAGAGGTGTGTGCAGAGAGAGAGAGAGAATTTGGTAAGGTGAGATTTTGTGAGAGCAAAAGTGTGTGTTTTGCAGGGTTGAACTGGCTGTCCCTTACTGGGCTATTGGGTCACAGGGAAAGAGAGAGACCCTTACTGAGCTACTGAGTCAGAGAGAGAGAGAGAGAGAGAGAGAGAGAGAGAAATAGATAGAGAGAGACTCTTCCTTGTCTCTCTCCTCATGGCTAATCCCCAGTGGGCACTCGCAGATCCGGATGCGGAAGTGGTGTCTCTCTCTCCAAGAACCCTCTTGGAATCCGACCGCTACGTGTGCGAGATTTGCAACCAAGGATTCCAGCGCGACCAAAACCTGCAAATGCACCGCCGCCGCCACAAAGTCCCATGGAAACTCTTGAAGAGAGACAATTCCGAGGTAAAAAAGCGGGTCTTTGTTTGCCCCGAGCCAAGCTGCTTGCACCACGACCCGTGCCACGCCCTTGGCGATTTAGTGGGGATAAAGAAGCATTTCAGGAGGAAGCACAGTAACCATAAGCAATGGACCTGTGATAAGTGCTCCAAGGGCTATGCGGTTCAGTCTGATTACAAGGCCCATCTCAAGACCTGTGGGACTAGGGGCCACTCATGTGATTGTGGGCGCGTCTTCTCCAGGTGAGTTCTTAGTTTCTAGAGAGAGATTATACCGACAATTAGAAGTACTGGTAACTTGGTGTTCATATGATTTGGCCAATTCTTGAAAACAAGAGAATTCACACATACACAGAGAGAGAATGTTCCCTTGACTGGCCTAATTTCATAGAAACACTAGAATTGCCTCTGAGATAGAGTGAGAACAGTTAAAGATATTAGAGAGAGAGACTGACTATTTAAAAATATTCAAAAATAAAATGAACTACCTCGTTCCAACATCATGCAATCAAGAGAACTAGTGTTGTGTTTTTTTTAAGAGCACGTATAAAAACAATTAAAAATAAAAAAATAAAAATAAAATCATGACTAGCAGATCGGCTCAAATTCAACCGAGACTGTGAGATTTACGAATTCAATCGAGATTGTTGGGTTTACACTGTTCTATCAACCCTGGTCTTTTCCCTTTATTATATATTAATTGTTACGGTGATCTCCAAGGAAATACTAAGTGCTTTGGCTTCTGAAGTAGTTGTATTTTATCTCCCCAGAATTATTGGGGTGCTCGTATTTATTCTTTTTTGGGCTGAATTGTTTTTTAGGTAGATAAAAAAATTGTCAGGGTGCCCATATTGATCTCACTGAATTAATAATCTTTGTGCAAATTTTCAGTAATTATGGTGTTGTCTGGTATTTATTTTGATTTTATTTTCTGGCATTGAGATTCTCTCCATTTCTCGTCATTGAATTTCTGACTATGATTATTTTCTGTCCCATTTGGCTAGCTTCCTTAATTTTCATTCTGTTACAATTATCCGGCTTCTCTTTGGATTGATCTTATTAATTATGCTAGAGAGTTCATGATTCACTGCATTATTAATAATTATTACCCCCATTTATTTATAATTAATAACAAAGAAACACAAAAAAAAAAAACCCATGCCCCTTTACCCCTTGAAACCCAACATTTTAATTAATAGATTTATTATTTCTCTTAATATCCTGCCTAAGCTAAATATTATGGTCATTCATTTTACTAGATTTGTGTTTTCTTTTCTAATTGCTCTCTCTCTCACTAGTATGGTCTTTTTCATTATAGTTTCTCTCACTAGAATTCTCAATTTCTTGTCATGATCGTTTTTTCCTTATTCCAAGTAGGGTGGAGAGTTTCATCGAACACCAAGACACTTGTAACGCGGGAAGAGAGAGACAAGACTTTCAAACGACCCAACAAGTTTCTCTCTCTAGGACAGTTTCAAGTCCGTGCAATTCTAGTGAGAGAAACATGGGCTCTTGGGCAACCCTAAAGATGTTAGGGCTCAGCCCTAGTTTCCAGCTTCCAAATGATTATCACCATAACCTAGAGCTTCAACTTCTTCCCTCACCCAACAACCAAATTCAGAGAACCCCACAAAGAAACCAGGATCAAAAGGCTGCTTCAGCTCCAACAACCAATTCAAACCCTAATTTCATTGAATCAGAGGCCACGAGATTGCAGTTATCAATCGGAAACACAGGGAATTTCACCAGCATTCGAAATTCCAGTGATTGTGAGAGCACCCAATTCGCTGGAAATACAATCAGTGATCGAAATTCCAGTGATTTTCTGAGGCTGGCTATGGAAGAGCGAAGGCAAGCTGAACAAGCGAGACAAGAAGCGAAGAGAGAGATGGAATTAGCAGAGAGAGAATTTGCTAATGCAAAGAGGATTAGGCAGCAAGCACAAGCTGAGCTTGATAAAGCTCAAATACTGAAAGATCAGGCCACAAAACACATAAACTCCACAATTCTTCAGATCACATGCCAAGCCTGTAAAAACCATTTTCAAATAAGTGATGAGAACTCTCTAGCCATGAGTTACATGTCTTCTGTTGTGACAGAAGGAGAAGGTGAAAATGATAACAGGCAGCAAGGGAAGATCCCCTCAATCTAGAGTTCAGTGTTATTATAATAATTAACACTTGTATTGACTTTCTCTCTCTAGTCCTTCGTCAGGTTCATTGAATTAATTTGATTTCTTTTTTGGTTTGTTGGGGTTGCTTCATCTTTGTAATTCTCTTTGGTTTTTCTGTCAAGTCATGATGAAATTAATTTAATTAAGATTTTTTTTCCTGATACACTTCTGTGTTTTCTGACTGTCTCGCTTTGCTCCATGTTTTATAATATTGATGTCTTTCTTTTGTTGGGGACTTACATACTTCCATATTTGTAATCCTCTTTGGTTTTTGAATCCCGGGTGATGATGAGATTAATTTAATTAAGATTTCTTTCTCCTGTGAAACCCTTCTGTTTTTTCTCGAAAACCCATGTGATCATGGCAGAAAATATGGTACATGCATCATTATGTGGTGCTTGGTATGTGTTTATATACTCATTTAAAATTAGAAGGGTGTGCAGGTTTCAACTTTAAGGCATTTGATTCTCCCTGCAAGACATGAGAGTCTAGAGAGAGAAAGGTGCAATATATAGCTTAGAGAGAGAAAGAGGTGGTTTAAAGGTAAAAGAATGATGGAATTTAGAGAGAAGAAGGTCGAAAACATGAGAGAGGCGAAGGTGCAAAATGTGAAAGCATGTGTAGAGAGGGAGAGAAAGAGAGAGGAGCGAGAAAGAGTGAGGAGAGAGAAAGAGTGAGGAGAGAGAGAGAGAGAGGAGGAAAGGATGAGGGTTTTCGAGATGGAAAGTAGGTAAGAGAAGGGAGGAAAGCATTAAAAGGATGGGAAGAAAGCGAGCACAGACTGAGCAGAAACCCCAGTTGAATTTAAAATCACGAGTACAAAGCCGAGCAGATTTCAGGTCAGAGAGAGAGAGAGAGCAGTGATCTAGACCGTCCTTTTCCTCTTGTTTTCTTATGGAGTTTCCTCTTTCTAAGTCTGCATTTCTTTTTTGTTTTCTTTTGGGCTTTCTCTCTCATCTCTACACTTCTTTTTTGTTCTGAACCAGCGTTAGGTTACGTAATAACAGAGCCATGTTTTTCAGTGCCAATGTTAAAGCCGAACGAACCCCTATTCAAGGCCACATAAAACTGCTGTATATCAAAATCAGGGGTTGGAGCATCTTTCCATTTATGCAGACCTCTCTCTCTCTCTCTTCTTTCTCTCTCTAGAGACCCTGCAAAAACTGGCTTTTCCCTTGCACACAACCATATTTTATTGCTCGTGTCTAGTTGGAACTTGGAGAAAGGGGAAGGCCAAAATCTCTCTCTCTCTCTCTACATGCACACACCTTATGAATGCACACACATTACACAAATGTATGTGTTAGTGGTCAGATGCCATATAATTCTCTCTCTTTCTTGCTAACACACACATACAAAAGTTAGTGCTCAGATGCCATTCTCTCTCCCTCACACACACACAAAAACACAGAGACAAGTGTGTGTGTGTAAGTGATCAGATGGCATCTGTGTGTGTTTGTGTATGTAGCTCTTTCTCTCTCTCTGTTTACTGTTCAGATGGCTTACATCTCTCGCTCTAACTCTTTCTCTCTAGAGAGAGAAGGTAGAACAAACGTCTTTGTCTCCATCTTTTTACCTTGAGCTCTGTATCGATCATCGTGTTACCGTCCACACAGTAAAGCAATTGGTCCCAGGTAAAAAGCTATGCGTCCTGGTTTTACTGTTTGGTTACTTAACATCATGGGGTGAAAGTGATTTCGAGTCACCAGCGCCTATATTATTTAAAAAATTGACCTTTATGAAAAAAAAAAGAAAAAAAGAACAGAATAAAAGGAAAAAAGGCTTTGATTTAGTTCAAAAACAAGAAAATTTAAGCCTAAACGAGATATACTAAAAGATAATACGTAATTCAAAGCAAAACTAAGCAAAAGAAAAGAGAAAATCAATTTTGAAAGAGAGAGAGCAAAACTAAGCATGGTGAAGAGGAATTTGATTTTGAGAGAGGGAGAGCAAAACTAAGCAAAGTAAAAGAAATTCCATTGAGAAAGAGAGAGAGACTCATCATGCTAAAGGGAATTTCCATTTTTTGAGAGAGAGAAAGAGAGAGAGAAAGAGAGAGAAAGAGGGAGAAACTCTGCAAGGTAAAGGGGAATTCCATTTTGAGAGAGAGAGAGAGGTGGATTGGGAGGGGTCCCATTGAAGACCTTTACGCTAGGATAGGATCAAGATATATAGAAATGGCAAGGTAAAATGGCAGTCATAATCGATTACTTGTTTTATTCTTTTGGAATGGATACAAAAAGGTTTCCAAGTATCCTCAAACCTTATACTTGGATAATTGGGATAGTATTATGTAACAAAGACTCTTTGTAAAGTTAATGGAAAATCCAATATAAGGAGTACACTCTTGGTATTTCAAGGAACATAAGGCCATTTAGGCAATTCCTATTGAAAAAAGAAGGAAAAAAAAAAGGAAATAAGAAGAAGAAGAAAAAGAGGTCTTCCTTCCTTTTATGAAGGAAGCTTCATTGATGCCTTGATTTTATGGGGTGGAGGCTCTTTCTTCAAAAGCTAAAAGATTTTTTTAGGGCTTTAGGCGTTTCCAATCCTTTTTGGTAGATACATTCCCTTGGGTGTAAAGGTTATGCGTTTGAATTTTGTGATGAGAGGGCTCAAAAGTCTTGCAAGAGAAATTTTAAGTAAGAGGAGAGGCCACTGTTTTCATCCAAACTTTTAGGCATTCCACCACTGGTGCCTCAGAAAAGGCGCCCAACCCTAAAAAGTTTGTTGCTATTTGGGAAAGGCAGATGCTCTCTCTCTCTCTCTCTCTCTCATCAAATTATTTCTTGCGATTAAGTTACCTACTAGATAAATAAATAGTAGAAAAGACATGTAGAAAAAATTGAACAATAACAGTTAACCTGACATGGGCCAAGAAGTGGTTCAACAGGCCTAACGGTATATCGGCCGGTTCAACGGTTCTAACCAGATAAATCTCGGGCTGTCAAAAAAGTGTTAAAAAAATAAAAATAAATACAAAAAAATCTAATAAAATATGAACATCCAAATAAAGTTAAAAATTAATGAAAAAAATGGATTTTAAATAATTGATTTATGCTCAAAAGTATTTTTGAAATTCTTAAAAAGATGGAAAAAAAGTAAAAGTAAATATTAATAGCCAAAATAGTTTCCAATCTTTTCCATAATGATGAAAAACATTAAAAAATATATTACAAATAAAATCTCTTATTTTTTGAGATTTTAAATAATTTTTTTAAAAAATTAAAAAAATACCCGACAAGTCACCAAAACTGATCGAAACCGGAATTCGGCCACTGGCCGGTTCTAATCTAATCGAGTGATTACCGGTTAGACCTCCCGATTTTTCCTTCAATGGCAAAGATAGCACATGTTCTATAGAGCATGTTAACACATTAAAGATGCGACCCTCTATTTAACACTGTAATAATCTAAATAAGCTTTCTTAAAATGTCTTTTAAAATAGGACTATAAAGTATTCAATTTCATCTAAAATCTCACATCTGTCTTTCCTCAAATCATATATAAACATTTGGTGCTTTGAAACTCTAATTTTGAAATTAATATTTGCATCACTCGTATTTATATCAAATGCTAAGATATGATATGGGACTATATAACTTATCATAAGAACTTATCATAAGATAAATAGTTATGAGAATGCCTTAAGAGAAAATACTTAAGGCACACTTTCGGTGCAATGGACCTACTCACATGCCCATGGGAGAGCTTTCAAGAACAAATTTTTCTTTCCCTTTGGGATGCACCCACTTAAGTTTCTCACCTCTATAAATAGAAATGAACCCCTCTTGGATTCTCTATCTATTACAAGTGGTCCATTGTCACTAGACACATGCCTGTTTACAACTTTATGCCAAGATCAAAAATGCAAAAAGGTGGCTGAAACTTGTACCTGAAGTCTGCCATGCCAAAAAATGCTTAGCTTTGATTTAGTTTCGTTAGATCGTAGGTTTGGTTAAGTTTCTCTCTCTTTATTGGTAAAGTAAATAAATTTGATAACTTATAATTAAATTTGAGAGCAATTTTTGCTTGTTTGAGTGCATTTATTGGGAAGAAAATTATTTAAAGCTTTGTTTGGGAGATAAATAAAAGAGGCCTCTGTCACATTGGTAACTGCTTCCCTTTTTTATGGGAGGATATTGCGTGGCTATTGAGAAGAAATACACAAATATACCAAAATAAAACTGAACTACAGAATAAAATAAGAGGAAAATGCCTGCCAAGAGTGAAATTATGAAAAAAGATTAAAGGAAAAAAAATCCCATCACCTATAAAATATTAGATTATTAATAATTTTGTAAGCTTTTCTCAATCAAGAACCTCCTTAATTAATTCATTTATGCCCAAAAAAAGTGTAGATTGTCTACCAAGCTAGTATGAAAGGTGTATATTATGATTAATATGTGTGGAAAAGGTAGGTGCAATATTTTAAAACTCCAATTTCGATAACAAAGATCTTAGTTGTCCACAAAGGCCCTAGCTTCGCTCTAAATCTTAGATCTAGAGCCACAATACCCTACCTTCTAAGAATTCAATCCTAAAACTTTGATAACTTCATCATTTCATTCAATTTTTTGTGTATTTTGTTGGGGTTAAGGACCCTTTTATACGTTGAAATAGGAATCCTGTACATTGATTTCCGCTAAGATTGTATATTAACAGGCTAGAAACAAAATCAACAAAATAGAAACTAAATAAAGATTTAATATTCGAATGAGTTATAGTGAGTAATTTTTATTAAAAATTCCATACTTTTGTTTAAAAATTATTTTCTATAGGTACCTTAAAAACTAAATAAAGATACATTGGAAACTTTCACAAAAGTATAATGATATTTTTTAAATAAGTGACTTGAAACTTTATTGTCATAACTACGCCTTGTTATTTATGAAACTTCAACTATGCATTTATAAAGATGACAAATTACATCTTGCCTTTTAGTAACAATTATAGATGTATTATGAAGTTGTTTTCAAAAAAACAAAAACGTATTTTCGGTAAATCTCGCTTTCCCAACTCTTCTTACTTTTAACTATGTATTTTGAAAGGCTATTAAGTGTAGATTATCCCCATGGTTACTCTAGGATACATCATTCAGACAACAAGAATAGAATTTTCTATTCCAAAGCTTTTGATTTAAAAATACCCTCATAAATCTAAAAACC